AATAGATTAAATATTATTATATATATATATATATATATATATATATGATATTCATAATGATATAATATAATATAATATAATATCATATAATATAATATATAATATGTGACCCTGGACCAGTCTTAGGGGTCAATTTTTCAAAACTTTCCATTGATGTATGGTTTGTTATGATAGGACAATATTTGGCTGAGATACAACTATTTGAAAATCTGCAGTAACAGCTGAGCTTTTTAATTACTAATTCAAAAACATCACTTTAGAACTAGTAACGAAGGAACGTTTTGTTGCTTCACTGAAAGCATATTACTGTATTAAAAGCTCACTGTATTATGTAGCGTAAAGTATTATGAGAGAGATGAACTGAGCGAGTGTGATTACCTGCATCTGATATAGCATTCATGCTTTAGCTCAATCTAATATTCACAATAAAACATTAGTTTGAATATCCGCTGAGGATATCTTTGTCATACTATCCTTTCACGAATTTGCCTGCCCATCCAGTCCTGATGGTTAAGGGTAAACGAATTTGGTTTGCAGTCCTTAATGGAGGCTTGAGTGCGAAGTTCAACCCCCCATTGCAGTACTACCTAGAGGGAGAAAAACAGAAATAGAGGAGGAGGTGGGGAGGTGGAGTGATGCCGGAAGAATTGATGCTGGGACAGATAAATGAGAGCTGCTTATATAGATTCATAATGATGATTGACAAGACTGAATGATTAGGCTCCTCCTGAACCTACGTTTGGAACTTCATTTTGTCTGTTAATGGTGATTTTAGATGACAGCGCTGCTCAGTGTATTTGTTGGCTGCATCTTACAAGGTGTTGTTGAGAGTTAAAACTTCATTGTATACAACCCTGTTTCATTCTCTTTCAATATAAAAGCTTTTCCTGCTGTCTCACTCATAAAAACAGTCTCTTGTCGCCATCTAATGATGGAACAATGTAACTAAAATCACCATCACGAACACACACAGTTTCCTGATACTAAATATTATTATTAAATACTACTATTATTTATATAAAATAGTATTAATTGAATAATAATAATATTTAATAAATAACGACAACAGTAATCATAAATTTTGCTAGGCAATTCAGTCAAAAGTACAAAGGCAGTGCTCTGATATTCAGCGTTGAAGTTACACAAAATATAGCGTGATGAGATTTTGCCTTCAGCAAAAACTATTTGCTCTGGAACAAATAATAGATTACTGAGAACAAAGACTGCCTGTTAGATTTACCCCGAACTAATTATATCTCATGTTTAACCACTATTAGAGACATCAGAGCCAGCGGCAAATTCAAGAAGAGCTGGCCGAGGTGAGGCTGCTTTCGGCGGGTTTATGAATGCTGAACGGCCGCTGACACCCGAGATCTCTGAAAAACTCAAAGCAAAGTATTACTATTAACAAACTGCATATTTGAAGACTAAACAGATACTGCAAGCGGAGTGATACAAACGGTGAAACGGTTGGAGTTCCAATATCACTTGAGAATCGCACTCTTCTCAGCCAATCAGATTTGAGGACCAGAAAGAACTGCTGTATAGAATAGAATAGAATAGAATAGAATAGAATAGAATAGAATAGAAAAACATAGAAAAACGAGATACAGTATTCAGTATTTTACAAAGTAAAAACTTACGATTAATATTCAAGGAGTTAGAAATATATGTTCTTACATTAAATAACTTCGGTAAATTATGTTTAGTGCCTATATCAAACTATGCCCGGCATGCAATTTGCATTAAAATTCAACCAAGCTATGAAAGTGTATTTATTTTTCTTTCTAAAGTCTCATGATTAAGTGCTTTGTGTCAGTGAAGTACTTACAGAAATTTCCTCCAAGTTTGTATAGGTAATTAAGAGTCTATGGCAAATTGCAGCATTATTAAAGGGAGAAACAGTCTCTCAGTGTGGATTTGTCACACACAACCACTTTTTACCCAAATAAATATGCACAAGCTGGACCACATTAGTGCCACTTGGACAGTGTATTTATTTTCCAAACTTTGTGTTCCACTTTCACAGAGCACCACGCCACGCAGAGAAACAGGTGCAGTCGAATAGTCTGGGTTATCACTGAGCAACAGCGGCGCCACAGTTATTCTGATGTCTCTGGCAGACATACATCTCAGGCAAACATCAAACACACACAGACACACGCGCAGCCAAAACAGAAGTCCAACACATTTAATTTATTAGAAGCGGTGAGTAATGAAACATGGAATCTGTGGGGGTGGACAGGAAGAGAGATAAGCAGATGGCAAATGAGTTACAAAGAAGTCAGAAGGGACGCCACCTTGCAAGGTTCTCTAATCAAGGAAGCTCAGTGGACAGTTGTGTATACTCTCAACCTCACAACTCGCCTGGAAAACCTTCAGAGTAGTTAAAAAGCACAAAATGATCTGTGGAACTGACATTTTTTTTTAAGGTCACAGCATATGTTGCACTTGAAAACCCATGCTAAAATTAATAATGTTCTCCAGGAAGCACATTACGATACTTGAATAGAAACACTTTTTTCCTCATCACACTGATGTACAGCATTAGGAGAGATAATGAGGAAGGATGACAGCATGTGCTGTAGAACATTTGATGTTTACAAATGCCATAGGACATGATAAAGGGTAAACCTAAACTGATTTGACTGGAAGATGATGATGCATGTTTCTCCTTGTTATTTTGGTGGAACATTAGCATAAACGTGTACATTATATTGTCGAATGATTGTGATTGTTATTCTGGGCAATATTAAATTAATTGTACATTTTATTATGCCAATGATTTAATGCAGGGGTTAATGCAACTTTTTTTTTTAGTCAGCTTAACTCCCTTTGCCGTAAAATACTTGAAGTACCCCCTGAGATTTTAATAATTTAACAACATATTTGGATTATAAAGGTTATCTTATATAGGTAAACAGATTAAATATTGAATAATTATATTATTTAGATGTTTTATTTTAGTTGCTTTTATTTATTAGATTATTTATTCTGCATATAGGGCTGCAGAAGCAGACCCATTTATTGTATTTTATTTTATTTTATTTTATTTATTTATTTATTCATTTATTCATTTATTCATTCATTAATTCATTCGTTCATTTATTTATTTATTATTATTATTATTTTACTTTACTTTTAAACTTTTAAAATAGTTATACTTTTAAAATGTTTACTATAAAATAATAATAATAAAACATTTTTTTCTGTAAAATCGTATCGGTCAACTTTATTCGCATTCTAATTAAGATTTTTAATGCACCACATTAGTCCTGGTATCAACATGCTTAAAGCTTGATTTATTCCATGGAACAGTTCAGACTGTCTGTTTCAGTCAATAGATTAAACATTCTGATTTAAAGGGGTCATATGATGCTGCTAAAAATAACATTATTTTGTGTATTTGGTGTAATCAAATGTGTTTATGCGGTTTAAGGTTCAAAAAACACATTATTTTCCACATAATGTACATTATTGTTTCTCCTCTATGCCCCGCCTTTCTGAAACTCGTCGATTTTTACAAAGCTCCTCGGTCTGAAAAAGCGAGGTGTGCTGTGATTGGTCATCTATCCAGTGTGTTGTGATTGGCTGAATACCTCAAGCGTGTGACAGAAATGTTACACCACTTACCATACTGTGTTTCCATCATACAGTCTATGGTTTCCATGTGTCCCGGCGCGACGAGACAAAACCAATAAAACCCATTACAAACGAGGCATTTGTTGCATCCAGTGGGGACATAATTACTGATTGTAATGACTTATACTGTCGGAAAAAATGAAATCGCATCATATGACCCCTTTAACATTTAATTTCTTTCATCACTCAGAAATGTTCATAAAAGGCTCTGAGTGTCTGTATTCATGCACTAAACCATTGCATTCAAATATATACAGATAAATATTACTGTTTATGACTTTGTATTGTTATATTTATTCACACAGTATAAACGCAAACAATTAGCACATTCTTACAGTACTTGTCTTCATTTCGTGATCAGTGAAGGAAATATGCCACTATTGTCTGAGCAAATACTACTATAATATTATCTTACAAATATATTGAGATACAGTATGTTTCACCAGTCATTAAAAGGCTGACAAATCTAGCTTTCTAATAGACCTAGCCAATTTTTTACAAATTGCTTTTGTTCTTCTATTGTAAGTTGCTTTAAAAGTGCCAGCCCTAGTTGTTATAAAGTCTTACTGCCTCATATTATGAAAAGCGATTAAACGGAAAAGAAAAAAAAAATGAAAGTAATGAACAACATTTTTACATCTAAAAAAATGCCTAACATTTCATCCACATATCAAATAGTGGTGCTTACAGCTTATCTGCTCCCAGCATACACCGGGAGGCAACAGTCCAACCCACACCTCTCATGTATCCTTTTGAAACAAAGAGGTTGTATTGTGTCTCAATAAGTGGGGAATATTACACAGCCATGCTATCTGAGAGAATTATTACATCCTCACTACTTGACATTTAACTATATCAATGCTCACGCTGTGCTTCGTGCCGATAGATTTGGCTTAGTCATCCCCCAGCTTTTAAAAGGTTCAGTTTCAACATAATGGACCATGTAGAGAGGTTAAGTCCACATTTTGGATTTGCTGCTGGATTCTCTATCCTCCCCTCCTGCTGAGAGCCCATGGTGCGGTGGAAAGGAAGAAAAAGGAATGCCCACTCATTGAAAAGCACTGATTTTCCAACATGTTTTCTGGCATCTCACAAGGAGTCCCCTCTGGAGAAACGGTTTACAATAGTACAGCAAATGAATACTGTTCAGCAAACAATGTCCTCTCTCTCCTTCGTACATTCAATTCACACCCTCAGGGACCGCTTTCTCTCCCAGCATGCAAGGTATCGATCTTTAAATATTTACCTTGAAAACGTCTGTAGGGTCAAGCCATGACTCTCCCTACGCGTGAAATATTCACCATTCCTCAATAATTAATGACTCTGTCCATGCATCGGCCTAGCATGAATGGGGCTCTATGGACGGTGTTTTGCATGTTTTATCGGTTGGTGTTGCCTGGGTATTGTCTGGGCTGTGACAAAATGCTGGCTCAGGTTAATTGGGCCCTGGGCATTGGCAATTGAGGATACGGAGCAAGGAAAGCAGGAAATATTTTGTGTCAAGGAATCCTTGCTTCCTCCAGGCCAGGAAACGGAGCTTCTTCAGACCAGGAAACGGAGGGACATTGTGGTAAAGTAGCTTGGTGGTCCTGGCTTTAGGGGAGTCAGATTTCTAAGGTGGAAATATTATTGATCTGCTCCTTCACTGGAGCGTCTGCAATGTCACGGCCGCCAACCCTTAATTGGGCTCGGAAATGAATAAGACTTGTGCGACAAATCCTCTGTAAAGCCTTTCACACTCTGTCAGCTGCACATCAGTGGATGTGCGATGGGGATCATTTGCTTACAAGCTAAATTGTGCTTGAGTATCTGTCCTGCTGTTCTTCCAAGCTGCTCCAGGCTCAGGTTGAGGACATCATAACACACAGACTGGCAATGCTGGACTGGCATGCTAACGTTTTGGGCACGCATTAGTCGATTATGGTGTATACTGTATAGCCAACAGTAAAATCTAAGCAAACGTAGCCTACAGTAAAACATACTATTGAAATTGAAATTGTTCTAAATCAAACACACATTTGAATTCATAAAAGGCAAATTTGCTCCTGTGAATATGAATTCTGTAGGTGTTTTTACTTAGATTATCCACTGACTGCAACCATCAAATCTAGCCCATTAGTAAGGCATGGTTGAACCAGAAAATGCATTTGCTGCAGAAAATGAATGAATTTATGAATGAATGAATGAATTAATTAATGAATTAATCAATGGGTTTTTTATTATTATTTATTTAGTACTGACCTGAATAAGATATTTCACATAAAAGACGTTTACATATAGTCCACAAGAGAAAATAATAGTTGAATTTATAAAAATGACCACATTCAAAAGTTTACATACACTTGATTCTTAATACTGTGTTGTTACCTGAATGATCCATTTTGAAACTAGACGGATGTACTGTTACTTCCTCTATGGTCAAAAATCTGGGTGTTATATTAGACAGCAACTTGTCTTTTGAAAATCATATTTCCCATGTTACAAAAACAGCATTCTTCCATCTTAGAAACATTGCCAAGCTATGAAACATGTTGCCTGTTTGTGATGCAGAAAAGCTAGTTCATGCATTCATGACCTCTAGACTGGACTATTGTAATGCACTGCTAGGTGGTTGTCCTGCATCCTCAATAAACAAGCTACAGGTAGTCCAAAATGCAGCGACTAGAGTCCTTACCAGGTCAAGAAAATATGATCAGCACTGGCTACCTATTAAGTTCCGTATCACTTACAAAATATGATTACTTAGCTATAAGGCCCTTAATGGGTTAGCTCCTGCGTACCTAACTAGTCTTCTACCACGCTACAATCCATCATGCTCCCTAAGGTCGCAAAACTGGTAGTGCCTAGGATAGCAAAGTCCACTAAAGGAGGTAGAGCTTTTGGTTACACTTTACTTGAAGGGGTGTGCATAAGACTGACATGACACCTTCATAATCATGACATGACACCTACATAATCATGACATGACACATGTCATGAATATGACGTTTTTTTTATGCATGTTTAAGTGTCATTCGCTCAGTTATGTAGTTTTTAATGCAAAGATGACATTGTTTGAGATGTCTTTGTTATGGGCTATGGTTAGGGTTAAGGGTAGGGGTAGGGTTAGGTTAGGGTTAGGTCAAATAATGTCATATTTGCATTAAAAATGACATAACTGAGCGAATGACACTTAATGACAGTTGTCATAAACATGCATAAAACCTCCTTCATATTCATGACGTGTCATCTCAGTCTTATGCACACCCCTTCAAGTAAAGTGTTACCGAGCTTTTTTGCATTTGGCTCCCAAACTCTGGAATAGCCTTCCTGATAACGTTCGGGGTTCAGGCACACTATATTTGTTTAAATCTAGATTAAAGTCACATCTCTTTGGCCAAGCATTAAAATAATGCATCTCATTATCTTGTACTGCAGTTATATCTGATCAAATGCACATTACTTTTCTTTAGCTTGGGTTAAACAAATCAATTTTGCTTGGTTG